CCCTCGGCAGGAGCGCTGCCGCGCTCCCAAGCGGCGCACTGTAGCAGGGCGCCACCGGGCTGGCCCCCTGCAGTGCTTTTGAGAAACCTGAAGCCATCCTGATTCTTAGTCTTTATTTCCTGTTTTTCTCATCTGCTCTAGAAGTTGTGATGTCTTTCTTTACCCAGTGTTCTAAAATTTCATGGTAATGTACCTTGGTGTAGGTCTACCTTTATCCTGTAAGATGAGGCTCAGAGCACCATTTCAGTCTGAATATGTACACCCTTTGGTTCTAGTACATTTTCATGAATTGTTTCACTCTTGATTCTCCTCCCTGTGTTTCTCTTTCTGGAATGTGTATTATTTGGATGTTGGACTGCTTGGATCATTTCCTATTTTTTATTTTTGGCTTCTGTTTTCTATATCTTTATCTTTTTGCTATTCCTTCTGAGAAATTTCCTGAACTTTATCTTTCAACCTTCCTATTGAGTGTGTCATTTCTATTCTATTTACGAACTGTTTTTATTTTCTCAATATTCCTTAATTTTTTATAGTACCATGTTTTTATTTATCGGATACAATATGTTCTCTTATTCTCCAATGATAGTTTTAAAAAAGATGTTTTCTTTTCTAGATATGGTTTCTGTTTTTTCAGATTGCTTTTTTTCTGTTTTGCTATCTTCAATTTCAGAGGACTTCTTTAGATGTTTGGTACCTTAGTTGTATGCTCATGATTAAGGGCAGGGAGCTTGCTTCTGAATGGAAGCTCTGAGTGAGTGGGGTTGGGGGTAGTGGCTTGTTGACTGTAAGTTTCACTGCAGGGTGATCTGGGTGGGCTGTTTGTTTGGGAATCCTCTTTATTAGTATCTTTTGTTGTTTCTGCTTGGACTGGTCAGATTCCTGGAAAAAGTCTTCCAGACCCTTGTGTGGAGGATAAAGTTCTGGGAATAGACAGGGGTAGGAGGTCCGGAAGTCTCACATTTACATGTTTACAGTCTCTCAGTCCCTTGTTTGTGGCATGAGACCCACATCCTCACATGCATTTCTAGATTTCTAGACTCCCAAATCTTTTGTTTTACCCTCTCCAGAAAATAAGTTTTCAGACCTCTGTTTGGGTCGGGGAGGAGGTCCAGAGACCACATTAAAGCTCTGTTTCCTTCTGTCCCTTTTCCAGAGGTACCTGGGGTTGTTAATATATGGTTCTTTGGAGGATTCTGTTGTATATTAAGGTTGATCCTTAGCTTTTCCCACTGCTGTTTCAGGATTCAGTGTTTTCTTTGTCCTTGTGGAATTATGCCTAAAGTAAGTATGCTTTATTTTACTTTTATTTGGGTTTCAGAAGGGAGTGAAATTTGACATGTATTCAATCTATACCCTAAAATTTATCCTTACTTTTGCGACACTTTTTTTCTACTACAAGCAATACAAGTCAGATATCCTAATAATTTTAAGTATAAATCACTACTATTCACAGTTAGTTATTTATTTGACAACACATAAAGAGCACCTCCATGCCTGGAAGGACCAGGCACGGGGGGATACAGTGATGAACCAGGCAGATGAAGTCATAATTTATTGAGCACTCAATAACAATTCCTCCCTCACTTCACACTTGCTTTAAGAGGATCTCAGGATCTCAGCCATCCTGGCAGCCTCCCTGTCCTTCCCACAGCCACTCTCTGAGGATTTACATGCTTTAAATACTCACAGGGTGAATCAAGTTTCCCATCTTTGGATCCATGTAAGTTCCAGGCCAGCTGGCTCTGTCCACTGATTCTTTCCCCATCCAGCCCTTTCCTCCCCTCTTCCCTGCAATATTTGTTGACTCCTGAGTTTGTCCAAGGGACATCTAGGGCTCCCTGAGCTGAATGTTCCTGTTGCATGTACGGCCTGTACTCAGATTCCTGACACAGTCTGACCCACTCTCTTCTCTGTTGCAGGTCAGAGATGTTGTCGTGGCGGCAGGCGTTGCAGGAGTGGGCTTGGCAGCCATGGGCCTCATTGGAGTCATGTTCTCAAGAAACAAGCCACAAAAACAATAAGTTGAAAGGAGGCAATGACTTTATACATTAAGGGGGTCATGATTTGCTAGAATTTGGGGTTTGGTTTGTGGATTTCATTCTGTTTTATAACAAGGCTAATTTTCACAGAATAAAATAAAGCAAAGGAGGGAGGATTTTAGTGGGGGAAATGCAGCAAGAACTGCCTGGTGTGAAGTCTGTTGAGGGAACAGGCTTCCTTCCTGTTGACGACCTCCTGTGATTTTCCTTCACTTTCTTTTTGAGGACTGTGTTCTTTGCATTCCGGGAAACGAACATAAAATAAACAAATATAAAGGGCGTTTCTGGTTGTCAGGACACGTGGGCAGTGAGGGAGACAGACAGACTTGATATACAGGAACAGCAACCGTCAGACAGCCAGGACTCTTGGCCTGGAACGGGACCCTGGATGGCTTCTAAAATTCATCAGCTGGAGTCTGTACATGCTCAGTGGAGTTTTAAAAACAAAAACAACAAAAAAACCTCTGCCATAAGGAAACTCAGTACATGCTCTTGCCAGTCTTGCTACCACCTCCCTTATTTTCCTCTCCTCTTCCCACAGGAGCTCAGCTTCGTCTTGTTTTCTCCCACTGCTCGCCTGTGGCTCCGTGCTCCAGTTCAAATTCCCAAGGGAGGATCTGATTGGCTCAGCTCACCACGTAGTTTAGCTTACCCTCTGGCTGCCTTTGGGTCAGGTGACTTCCACTAGGCCAATCAGCTGTGCCTGATGGCGGGGTCACATGGTACAAGTGTTGCCTCAGGCTTTAAGGAGCTGGGGGTTTGGCTGGCCTAATGACTGACATCCCTGATACCAAATACTCTGGAGGGGGCTGGGAGAAGCCGCCTCCTTCTGTGGCTGGTCCTTTAAGGTCTGCAGCTACAGGTCATTGGGGTTGGCAGATGTTCAAAGTGACTGTTTCTCTGGAGGGGGCTTTTGTGGGTTCCTCAGAAATGCTCTGCTGGGGCTGACTGTCCTCCCTTCCATAGGGCAATGCTTCCCTTCTACCTGGTTGCTAAAGATTCCTTCCCAGCCCTGGTTGTCTCAGGACTATCCTGTCCTGTCTGCTGGGGTCCTGGACAGGATTTGCAGATGGCCCTATGCTACCTGCCTCCTGTCTAGCCCATATCTGGTACAGGATAAACACATGCCCATCCATGCCCCAGTGTTGATAGAAGTACAGTGTTTTCCCAGTGCACTTTCCTTTTTTTCTTTTGTCTCAGCACTGTTGAGGTAGCAGCTCATGCCAGCTCTCAAGCTCCCCACACATAAGGGATACAGGCCAAGCTCAAAGAGCTGGTCTCTGCAAGCTCCTTTCACATGGCATAGGTGAAAGGGACACATGGAGTGTAAACCTCCAACCTGATTACAGAGAGAAAAAGGAATGAGGAAAAGCCAACACATGAAAGCAAAACAAAAAACCCCCAGTGCAATTTTTTTAAACAATAAAGGAGGAAAATTACATATAAAAAGTGGCATGTATAGAAATAACGAAATAAAATGAAGAAAATAATTCCAAATAGTTTGGTAACCACTATAAGTATAAATGGACTAAACTTGCAAAGTAAAGGACAAACATTACACTGGATTAAAAAAACTAATCCAAAAACACAGTTTACAGCAGAAGCACTTAAAATACAAGGACACAAAGACCGAAATTAAGGGGCCGGCCCGGTGGCGCACTGGATAGTGCGCCGCTTGGGAAGCGCGGCGGCGCTCCCGCCCAAGGGTTCGGATCCCACATACAGACCGGTTCCCGCTCACTGGCTGAGCAAAGACCGAAATTAAAAGGATGGATATTTTACCTGACATCTGCTCTGATGTCCTACAAAACTTCCTGTTATCAGGGAGAAAACTTGCAGGGATGTGAAAGCTGTCCTAGATTGAAAGAAATGTTAGAGGCAAAACAACTAAGTGTGAGGGCCGGCCCGGTGGCGCACTGGAGAGTGCGCCGCTTGGGAGCGCGGTGGCACTCCCGCTGAGGGTTCGGATCCCATGTGGAGACTGGTTCCTGCTCACTGGCTGAGCGCGGTGCGGGCGCAACATCGAGGATTGCAATCCCGTTACTGGTCAGTAAAAAAAACAAAAAGGAAAAAAAAAAAAAAACAACTAAGCGTGAAAAACAACTATAAAAGCAATTTGGGATAATTGGAAAAATTTTAGTAAGGACTGGGTATTAAAGGATATAAAGGAATTCTTGAATATTATTGATATTATTAAGTGTGATAACGCTAAGAGGCTTATGTAAACACATGCCATAATTAAAAAAAATAGATGCAGATAAAGTAAATATGGCAAAATAATAAGTTTTTAATCGAGGCAGTGAGTATATGGTAGGTGTATGTTCATTGTACTAGACATTCTAGTACATTCTGTATGTTAAAAAATGTACATAGCAAACATCTTTAACAGTATCGGAAATTTGAAATTGAAAGTTTAAATATAATAAGACTTGAATCTACTTCAATAAATCATAATATTTAAAAATTAGAAGGATAAAAAAGATATGCAGGCAAATACTAACTAAAAACTGGTATGCTAACTAAAAGCTGGAATAACTGCATTGATATCAGAAAATACAGGCTTTAAGGCAAAAATTGTTACTAGACAGAAGATAGAAGGGTTCTAGTAAAAATTTGAACTCACTAGAAATAAATAATTCTAAACTCGCTTGCATCTAATAGCAGTGTCAAAATAGATAACAAAAATTTTGGCTTGTTGCAAGAAGTTGACAATTCACTATCCTAGTGGGAGATCTAAATACACTTTTCTTAGAAACTGATGAATCAAGGAAATGCAAAAATCAGTAAAGACATAAAAATCATGAAAAACCTACCAACAAGCTGATTTAATAGACACATATGGTATAACTGTGGAATACAGATTTTTTTCAGCTGCACACAAACATTTATGAAAACTGACCATATCCTGGGCTTTCAAGCAAGACTCAACAAACTTCAGGGATTAGTAGCATAGAGATCATCTTCTCTAACCATAATACAATTAAATTAGGAATCAATAAAAGAGATAACTAGTAAGTCCTTATGCCTTCAGAAATTTTAGAACATACTGCTAGATAAATTATGAGTGAGAAAGAAAACATGGCGGAAGTTAGATAATATTTGGAACTGAGTGATGTAAGTACTAGATATCAATATGTGGACTATGAAGCTAAAGGGATGCTCTGAAAGAAATTTGTAGCATAAATCCTTACATTAAGGATGAAAAAGGTGCAAATTAATGTGTTAATTGTCCAGTTTAAGAAGGTAGAAAAAGACAGAAGAGAAATAGAAAAGTAAAGAGTTTTGAGCAAAAAAGAAGCAAACAGGCATATAAAAGAATGCACAAATAAGGAATAAAGAGGGAGTATAATTACAGATGCTAAGGAGATCAAATAAACAATAAGAAATATCAGTAAATAACTTTGACAAAAACTGAAAACTTTGATGGAATTGATACATTTCAAAAATATGTTATCAAAATTGAACCAAGAGGCTTCTGGTCAAGATGGTGGAATAGACGGTCCCCAGCGTCACTCTCTCCCACAAATCAACCAATTTACAACTGTAAAAAAGCAATGACAGCCAAGATGGGGCTGCTAGAGCTCAGGGGTAGAGGAGGAGAGACCCACGGAGTCCATGAAGGCAGGAGAAACCATGATGAGAGAAAGAAGCACTCTGACTGTTTCAAGTCCCAATCACTTCAAGGCTGGCCCTAGAGAGTGCATGGAGCAGGAGCTGGCAAAAGCCACAGCTGTGCCCTCTATATGAAGTTGCTTGGAGGTGGCAGGGGAGAAGAGGGACTTGGTGGCCCCCAGGCCAGCAAGATCACTAACAGGGTACCTATGGACCCATATAGGAGCAAGGGGCCACATACAAATGAAAAAAGGAGACACTGAGACCAGTGAGTCATTGCAAGGGACCAGTGCATGACCTGCCTGATGGGAAGTGTTTGGAGTTCAGGCAGTTGGGGAGATGGGCCACCAGAGGAACACTGGGGCACAACAAGGACAGCTGATCTATCCTCCAATCAGTGCAGGATCACTCAGTGGAGACTGGTCAGGAGTATAGAATGGCAGGGGGTGCAGTTTGCTGAAAAGACTCAGGACCAGACCAGAGTTTCTACACAACTCAGGTGCACCAGATCTCATGGGAGTCAGAAGTACCTATAAAGTCAACCATTAAAACCTGAGCTGCACAAAAAGCCTTCCCCAGGGAATCAGCAGCAAAGCAGCAATTTAGCTCAACCACAGAGCTCAAGTGCTGGTCCCCACAGGAAGTTCCCCCACTTTGGAAGTAAGCAAAGGACAACAAATTAGTTACAGTGCAGAGTTTAAGTTGTGGGAACAGCAAATAATACAACACAGAACTGAAAGAAAAAACAAAATACCCACAGATCAGAGACAAAGTCTGGTACTAGCTAGTAAAGGTCTAACACCACCAAAGAACAGCTATAAAACCTAGAAGGAGTGGAAGCCCTGGACTCCCAAGCCAGGGAGGGGGAGGGCTCTGGGCCTCAGCTGTGCCCCCCTGATGACCACAGTCAGCCCAGCAAAGACCACTGAGCCACTGCAGGAAGTTCCCTGGGCTCCTGAGTGGTGCCCCGTGTGAGGACGTTCTCCACGGATCGGAGACTGACCTGCCAAGCACTGGAGAGGAATAGGACATCCAATTCATCCCGGCAAGGGAGTCTCTAATAAGGGAGACGCATCCCGGTAAGGGAATCACAGGTGGCTTTCGATTAGTGATTGCACGCCTGCGGCAGGTCAAAGTTAGGCCTTTTCAATCCCAGAGATATTTTTTCCTTTTCTTTACTTTTAAAATATGGATAATTCATTAACAAAAGGGGAGACTGAACATACATTACGACTCCAATGTCTCCTTAAAGCAGCAGGCTGTAAGTAACTGAATGGCAGCTTGTAAAACTGTTAGTGGATATTAAACAACCATGTCCTTGATACTTCAAGGAAGGGAGCCTTAACATAAAAATTTGGGAACAAATTGGTCACTGGTTAATTATGCAATGGGTCTCGTTAAGGCTTCCCACCTAACAACTAGGAATCTACGTCGTCGCTCTGAGACCTATCCAAGACCTTAACAAAAAACTAAGACATGTTTATGTCACCAAAAAAGGATAAAACTTAATCTTTGCCAGTGACTGAGAAAACTTTAAATTGGACAATCTAAAGTAAAGGAAGTTAATATTTCTTTACAGTGTTGGTATTGTTTGAGCATGTTTTTCTTTCTTATCTGCATGATGCTTCTCTCCCCTCTTAAAAGCAGTGGTTCTTTTCTTAACTGCATG